TTTCCCTTCTCACCTTTTCTCTTCTCTTCATCTCCCCCCCCCCCTGCCTCTTTCTCACTCGTCCCTCCCTCGTTTCCTCATGAAGTCTCTCTCTCCCGTCTTGGTTGCATGCTAACATGATGCTCAAGGACATGCAGTCTTCCACTGAGGCTGCCGCGCCCCTCCAAGGACGTCTCGCTCAAGAGGTCAGTGCTCCCTCCTCCTCCTCCTCCTCCTCCTCCTCCTCCTCCTCCTCCTCCTCCTCCTCCACCACCACCACCACCACCACCACCTCCTCCTCCTCCTCCTCCTCCTCATCATCATCATCATCGTGCTCTTCCTCCGCTGCTACAAGGCGCTGATCGGTTCTCACAGATGTCCACCCCCAAGCTCAGGGATGCTGTGTGTTTGTCTTGTCCCTGCTGTTGCAGACCTAACGGGAGCGCAGGAGGAGCTGAGCTTCAAGCCAAGCACCAAGGAGGTCAAGGCGGAAGGTGCAGCCTCCTTTTACTTGTCGTTGGTGAATGGGGCAGCAGAGGAGGAGGAAGACGAAGAGGGGGACGACGAGCAGCAAGAGAGTGAGCGGCGGGCTGAGCTTGAGGAAAACCTGACGGGCATGCAGGCAAGTCGGCGGCCAAGAAGAAAGCTCGTGCTCTCAAGAAGAAGAAGAACTGAGCGGCCCTAGCCGGGCCCGGAGCCGGACGAACAGCCAGACGACACAGTACTGATCATAAAAGAAAAAACCTTGAGACGGGTGTTTGATCTTGCCCCTGTGCCAACACGGCCATTGGTTCATGACTGCTCCTCAACCTCATCCTCCTAGAGTGAGGACTATGCGTTAGCTTGTCCTCAACGGCTACTGATCCCCCCAAAGACTTTGTTGTCAGACCTGTCGTTGGGTTCCCTGCAAGCACGCCGCATGTGCAATTTTGTATGACATGAGGTCTTTGATTCACAGATAATCAAGAGTTCATTGATTGAAACTTTAACTCTGAAGCGCACTGTTGAAGTGAAATCTAACGCACACTATCGCTCTACACTAGTGGTTACGATGAAAAAAGATCTTCATGAGCACGCGCTCATTCGTATCACCTTGAACGTCTGCCCGAACTCCGGCCTCAGCAGCTTCCGTGAGTCAAACCCCGACCGCTTCACTGTCGCCCTGCTCTCCATGCCCTCCCGCGAGAAAAGCTCCTCCTGCTCCCTCGCCCTCCTTGCCGTCGGCGACCCTGCCATGGTGTCTTCCTCCTCGTCCACCAGCAGCTCGTTGACGATCACTTTCACGATGGCCACCAAGTACGCGATGCCCACGACCACCAGGTACATGCGCGACCGCAGCGCATCTGCCCATGGTGCTGCGTGCTGCCTCGGGCTGGAGGGCGGGAGGGTGATGTTGTCGAGAGGCTTAGGAGAGGAAGGAGCGAGGAGCTCGTCGGGGCAGGTCCAGTCGTGGGAGCATCGGGTAGCGAGGGGAGAGCGACACATGGTAGATAACAACATTTCTGTGAAGCAAGGGATTGAGCAAGACTTGGCAGCAGCTTGCAGGGGAGGGCACGAAGGAGAGCAGCTGATGTGGCACTAGCGTGGGAGGGAGCAAGGACGTAGAGGTACAAGGGGGCGGGAAGGTATTTATCGGGGCGATCCCATAAGTTGAGCACAAAAATGTACTCTGTTCTAAATCCATGCCAAAACTCAAATCAAGCAAATATTTGTAGGATATAGTCCTTGTCCTAGCTCACTGCACATATTATATAGTGTGGTTTATATCAAGTTGCAGTTTTTCGTTGCCTGAACGAATCTGTGGTAAACACCATGTGACTCGCAATCTGAATTGACCATTGCACCAGTTACACACCGTTACATCACAAAGGCGTGTTGCCGGAAAGTTTCAGTCGGTCGGCGAATTCCTGGCTAAAATACTTGTTGCACGTGCATGGTAGCAACTTTTGTACCGGGCCTGTCCGAAAAAATTGGTCGAATCCTCGGAACGCAGAGGTGCAAGGGTCACGTTGATCACTCTTAATTCATTCATGTAATATTCAACCTCCACCCGCCTCCATTTCGCCCCTGAGCAAGAGGATCTCACGACCGTCTCAGGTCCGAGTGGTAAAGTCAGCTGGCACGCCGGAATGATCCGAGCCATCGGATCTTCCCTTTAACTGGACCAGATCCGACTTTTTACTACACCCATACAGGTAGTAAAGAGAACGTTTGAATCTTAAAAAACACTTGTAGAAATTCACCTGCTATATAAAAGACCTTCCCGCACTTCCTCTTACTCCCGTCAGACACGTACCTTGTCCATCCCAACCATTCTGCATCGGACATCCTTAACCTGTTACACTTCATTTATGTTGTTCGCCATCATGTCAAGACCCCTCCTCGCTACCCGATGCTCCCACGACTGGACCTGCCCCGACGAGCTCCTCGCTCCTTCCTCTCCTAAGCCTCTCGACAACATCACCCTCCCGCCCTCCAGCCCGAGGCAGCACGCAGCACCATGGGCAGATGCTCTGCGGTCGCGCATGTACCTGGTGGTCGTGGGCATCGCGTACTTGGTGGCCATCGTGAAAGTGATCGTCAACGAGCTGCTGGTGGACGAGGAGGAAGACACCATGGCAGGGTCGCCGACGACAAGGAGGGCGAGGGAGCAGGAGGAGCTTTTCTCGCGGGAGGGCATGGAGAGCAGGGCGACAGTGAAGCGGTCGGGGTTTGACTCACGGAAGCTGCTGAGGCCGGAGTTCGGGCAGACGTTCAAGGTGATACGAATGAGCACGTGAAGGAGGGGATGAAGGGATAGATCATTATCATTCATATTTCTTGTCAATTTTGCTTTGTAAATAAACTCATCTTGCTTCTGTATATGCTTGCCAACGCTCTGACCTCCCTCGAATCCTTTGGCAACAGATCAAACCGTGTTCCTTTCCCTACACATACTCCTTTATCCCGTACATCCTGATCGCCCTTTATCTCCTAGCCTTACCTTTCATGCATTCTTGTTTTCTTTGACCTTCGTTTTTTGTGAGTTTGTATTGAGCCAGCCCCCTCCTGATTGGAAGTTGGCAGGAAGTGAGGACAGGAGTTTGTTGTTGAATGAAGAGGACTCACAAACATGATGAAAGTGATTACCTCCAAGGTTCTGTAAGCAATCAGACTCACTGTTGCAATCATGGACGTGAGGAGATATGTATTCTGTCAAACTTGGTGATCGATATCACAATTGTGTTGTTCACCTCCCCTCCTTCTTGCTCCATCTCGAAGTAGCTATGATCAGATGTTTGAAACTTTAATATCACAGCACTTCAACAACTTTCAACTTCAATATCACAGAACTTCAAGGATCTTCAACTTTTATATAGCAGCCCTTCAGCTGGACGAATCAGCCGGGTGCATCTCTTGGAACTTTCTCTCCAGCTCTTCCTCAGCAATCTTCTGAGTCATCCATGACAGGCATCTGTCTCCAGACTTCTTTCCCTGCTCCGTGTTGTTCTCAATGCCCATCAGGTACATCATGAAATTGTCAGGGCTGGCAAGACCAGCGTCTTCCAGGGATCGCACAAACGCGTCGAGGTGCTTCCTGACCTCCTCTCGGCCCATGACCAGAGGGGAAGGTCTGTTGGGAGGCTCCGCGAACGATTCTTTCTTCACTTGGTGCATGCACTTGATGATGTAGATCGGGCCCGGCCACCAGTAGACCATGAAAATAATGATCGCTACGGCGATACTGAGCATGCAGATGATCGGGGGGTTCCTGGTGACAGCTTATGTGAGATTGGAGCAACTTGCAAGCTGGGTGAGGGGAAATCGTCAGGGAGCAATAAAAGAACTGGGACATGAAACGGGCTGGAAATGACTGACGGGAGGAAGAAACAAATCTGCTAGAGGGAGCAGAGTGCTATAGAGAGGGGGCAGGGAAGCTGAAACGAGGAGGAAACAAGTGGAGGTAAGAACCCGGCACAACCTATGAAGGTGAATGATGACCCAAAAGACGACGTAAAGGGCAAAGATGACAAGAGCGACGAGGAAAGAGACAAAAGCTCCGTTGCCTCGCTTTCCGACAAACTTCATCAACCTTGAATGAGTAAGGCAAGTCACAACAGCCGTCATTCTCGCATTCGAATTCATCTATCTAGTCACATCATTCTTCCTTATCTCATGTTTGCGGTTCTGACCTTCAACATCCCACTCAGCTCAAAAGCATCCTTGCGTAACATTTTCTTGCAATCTTCACCCATTTTTCATCCTCATCAAAACACCCCTCGCACAATCCCAAGTCCATGTACAATATCGTCCTTACCTGGCGATTTCAAAGTTTCCGCTCATCTCCCCCAGCGCCAGGATCATGATCACGGCATGGAACAGGGCGATGCACTGGATGACGATGGAGAGGAGGAGGTAGGGCAGCGAGACATCCCACCACACGTCTCCCCACGGGCGTCCGAAGCTGTCATGACCCCAGTATGCGGTGATATCTGAGACACGTTAGCCGGCTGCAGGCCTGCGATCATAATCCACTCACCGTCATAGTTCTCATCGTAGTGGAGAGTGAGAAATTGGAATTGGACTGTGAGTAGCAAGGCTGAGCAGAGCGCGACTGTGTTGTTTTCCATCAGACATGCGTCCTTGATCTGTGGCAATAGTATCACCATCATCACTGAATATCATCGTTATCACCACCACCACCACCACCACCACAACCGCCGCCGCCGCCACACCACTGCCAACATCTTGCCTTTTCATAGCTGATGTGACTAGCTGAGCTGAGCTCCAAGAAGTCTCCCTTCCACAAACTTTTCTGCAGCGAGATTCTCATTCCGAACGAGCAGCAGGAAGAAGGATCAAAAGAGGAAGGGTCGCAGGAAGGAGGGTCGAAGGTTACCTGGGTGGAGATGGACCAAGGATGGTCGTACGTTCTCTCCCCGAACTTGGAGAAGTCAAAGTTGACGATGGCGCCATCTCGATCGATTAAAATTTTCTGTGACTTCTTTGCGCTTGATTATTACATGCAACATCGACAGGCTACAACTTACCATCGCCTGCCCACCACTGTGCGTTGCATGCTGCCCCTCCGACGATGCTACTTTTCCTCTTTGCATCAGATTGCTACTGAATCTGAAGGAGAAGTGAGCTACGGATGCGATTGGCGATGGAGGCTTCAGAGGCAGAGGACGGATGGGCTGAGGGGGGAGACGATAAGAGATGGAAAACTAAGGAGCTGAAGAGGGGGGGGTATAGAAGGTAGAGGAAGTCGATAGTAGAGGCAACGGGGAAAGATGTGGGTGAGGAGGGAGATGTGGGGGAGAGGAGAGCGATCCGGAGGAGGAGGAGGAGGAGGAGGAGGAGGTGGTGGTGGTGGTGGAGGAGGAGGAGAAGGTGGTCGTGTGGTGGTGGAGGAGGATGAGGAGGAGGTGGTGGTGGTGGATGTAGTGGTGGTGGTGGTGGTGGTGGTGGAGGTGGAGGAGGAGGAGAAAAGCAGAGGAGCGCAACGCCAACTGCATTAACTATCCTTGCAAAAGTTAACTCAACTCACGGCCTTCAGTCCTCTAGTGCCCCCGACCCGGCGTCCCGGCCGCGGCGGGGTTCGAGCCGCGGCGGGCCCCGAGCCGAGGGCCGGCCCCCGCGGCGGCCCGGCCCTCGGCTCGGTCGCCGCGGAGTACGGTCCGATCTGACTGGCCGCACCCAGCCTGGCAGTGACGGACTCCGAATCCCGAGTCCCGGAGGAGTCCGTACGGTCCCCGCGATGATCGCCGCGCCGCCGCGCGTACCGTACGGTCTGACGGGCCGGGTGGCCGCCGCGAGTCCCGGCCGTCCGAGTCGGCGCCCGGCCGCCGCCGGTGGCCCACGCCGTGTGCCGCCCGGCCCTTTGAAAAAGTTTTTACACAGTCGGTGAACTTCCGGAAGTTAAGTTAAGTTAACTTCAAGCGCTGAAAGACTCTTGAATCAGTGGTCAGTGGTACGAGCCTTCCGGGCGGCGGCCCGCCGCCCTGCCGGGCCAGTGACTCTCCCCGGTGGGCCCGCCGCCACTTTGAGTAAAGGCTCAGCACAACTTTTAGTTTGTAAAGACAACCAGATTCGTACCAGTGGGTCTCGTGACCCACCAATAGTCATTGGCATGTGACATCTTTACTCAGGCTAGATGGAACCTCATGATGACTTCATGACAAGAAACTAAAAGTCAGTCACTGTTTGCTCCTGGCCCGGACCAGCCCCTACCCCTCCATCTCTCTGGTTTCGTTGAGGTAAAAGGCCGACCCGTCCTTTGATATTATTCCGAAAGTTTCATGCAGACTGGCATGCCTGCCAGGCTGGCAATTGTTTTTTTTCCTGCCAGTCAAATCGTCTGAACGGATATCTACTACCGGTGGGTCCTCCCGACACAGGCTAGTACCCACGGGATCATACAGAATTCTCTCTAATCATAAGGGGTCCATTTTGAGAAAATGGACAACCAGGAGGGTCCTGCATAACTTCATAGGCAATGCCAGGCTGGCAGCACATCAAGGCATTGCCTACTTTTCCTATTGCCTCACTTGAAGTTTCGGAATCCTATGACTGTCATCGGGATATCTGTAGCAACTCCATATCTTTACCACCCCGCAGGCCAAAGGAGTTTTAGCAAGTTTGGAGGCACCGAAAAGACTTGTTTTGGAAAATATTAAGTAATCTTTGCGATCTCCGGGCAATCCCGCCCCCAACCCTGCGTAATAACTGGATCTATTAGTACACCCACCCTTCAAATGGCTCAAAAAGCACCGGTGGTGAGGTAGCCTGACTCCCCCTGCACCCTCTTTACCTCGAGGCTGTCGCACGCCAACCCACAGCACCGCCTTCCTCTGCCACTCCCTGCCGCTATCCCTTCCCCTCCCCTTTCGCCCTCCCTCCCTCGCCGCTGCTCCTACATCTCTCCTGCTCCTGATCTCCCCTCTTCTGCTTCCTCTTTCTCCTTTGCTCCCTGGGCTGTATCCTACCACTTGGCGTCGACCTGCTTTCTTGTGCCGGTTGTTTCTTGGTCTGCACAGATCGCACAGCTCCTGATCTAGGACGAGCAAGGGGGCTGTTGATATCTTGAGCCTCGATGGCGACGGACATCTCAATGAGTCATTGTGACGGGCAGCAGGAGCCATGCATGTCCACAAGGACATCGCACGAGACTTTCTATGAGGACCTGCAGACCTGTATCAGGTATCCTGAGTGCGGGTGGTCAGAGAGCGGCCGCTGCCAGGACGCGGGCACGCATCATCCCGCTGGCAGAGACAGCGCGCAGACAGCGGGCAACTCGGACGTTGCCTGTGCTCGGTCATGCTTCATTCTTGTTTTATTTCAGCTGGTTTGGAATGCTCTGCACCAAGTGGTGTGTTTGTTGATGACAGAAGACGACTGGGGGCCATGCCCCGTAGAGGAGGAGTGCAGCTCGCCCAAGTACGTGAGCGACGACTCAAGGCGGGAGGTGTCCACGTGTCGGAGCTGGCCGAGACGGCACTCTCATCCACTGCTGAAGCCGGAATTCTGCAAGCCCTTCAAGTTCAAGCGCGTGAGAACATGAATGGGATGGGTGTATGGGACAAGGATGGGCAGGGTGGTAGTGGAGAAGCAACGCTCGATGTGTATCGCAGTAAAGCATATGTCGGGCTGATTCACCTGTTGGTTGGGAAGGTTTGTCACGGCCACTAGGACTTATTCCTGGTCCTGCATCGGATCTTTTCTGCGAAGCTTCCTCGTTTGACTGTTCGAATGTATGATGAGTTTGTATTTTAGCTTGTAGGAACAACCCATTCACTCCTCCTCTCTTGCCATTCAATCCTCCTCTCTTGAGACATGCTTCTTTGTTACAAGTTACGTATTTCTCGACCTCGTCGACCGAAGGCTTCAGCCTAGTAGGGTTTATTTGAAATTTTGCCCATGACTCATGTTATGATGTCACGGTGATGCATTTCGTGACCGTCCGGGACCCGGGGAAAGCTTCCGTAGGGTCGCATTCACCCGAGTGGTTCGCATGACCCACCTACCCATGATAAACACACAAACGAAGGGGTCCTGGTCGTGAACGATTTAAAACACCTTTTCTCGGGGCGAACGAGGCAGGCCCGGGGCGGCCAACACACCCGTCATTGGCGGTGACCGGACTCCGAGAGCTTGTTAAGTAAACTTTACGATCTCCGGGGGGTTCGCACGAGAGTCAAAGCAGAGGTCTTTACGGGACTGTACTTGAAACGACGTTCTCTCGGATCGTTTGGGTTTGTCTAGCAAGTGTTTTAAAATGTTTTGCACTTCTTGAGTAAACTTGTTGGGGGATGGATACAAAAGTCGGGGAGCAACTGTTAGACTAGCAGCAGTGGCTGGAAGCACATCAAGGCATTGCCTTGTTCTTTTATTGCCTCACTTAAAGATTCGCAGACATGCAGCCCTATCGGGAAGGAGATCAGGATACGTTTCGAACTCTTTAGCTTTTCCCAGCCCAAGAAGTTGGAGGTGTCGAAAAGACTTGTTTTCGAGCCTGAAGGTTAGGACTTCCAGTCAGTTCTATACCAACCCCTGGGATATACGGAGGAAAGCACCGGTGGTGAGGTAGCCTGACTCCCCCTGCACCCTCTTTACCTCGAGGCTGTCGCACGCCAACCCACAGCACCGCCCTCCTCTGCCACTCCCTGCCGCTATCCCTTCCCCTCCCCTTTCGCCCTCCCTCCCTCGCCGCTGCTCCTACATCTCTCCTGCTCCTGATCTCCCCTCTTCTGCTCCCTCTTTCTCCTTTGCTCCCTGGGCTGTATCCTACCACTTGGCGTCGACCTGCTTTCTTGTGCCGGTTGTTTCTTGGTCTGCACAGATCGCACAGCTCCTGATCTAGGACGAGCAAGGGGGCTGTTGATATCTTGAGCCTCGATGGCGACGGACATCTCAATGAGTCATTGTGACGGGCAGCAGGAGCCATGCATGTCCACAAGGACATCGCACGAGACTTTCTATGAGGACCTGCAGACCTGTATCAGGTATCCTGAGTGCGGGTGGTCAGAGAGCGGCCGCTGCCAGGACGCGGGCACGCATCATCCCGCTGGCAGAGACAGCGCGCAGACAGCGGGCAACTCGGACGTTGCCTGTGCTCGGTCATGCTTCATTCTTGTTTTATTTCAGCTGGTTTGGAATGCTCTGCACCAAGTGGTGTGTTTGTTGATGACAGAAGACGACTGGGGGCCATGCCCCGTAGAGGAGGAGTGCAGCTCGCCCAAGTACGTGAGCGACGACTCAAGGCGGGAGGTGTCCACGTGTCGGAGCTGGCCGAGACGGCACTCTCATCCACTGCTGAAGCCGGAATTCTGCAAGCCCTTCAAGTTCAAGCGCGTGAGAACATGAATGGGATGGGTGTATGGGACAAGGATGGGCAGGGTGGTAGTGGAGAAGCAACGCTCGATGTGTATCGCAGTAAAGCATATGTCGGGCTGATTCACCTGTTGGTTGGGAAGGTTTGTCACGGCCACTAGGACTTATTCCTGGTCCTGCATCGGATCTTTTCTGCGAAGCTTCCTCGTTTGACTGTTCGAATGTATGATGAGTTTGTATTTTAGCTTGTAGGAACAACCCATTCACTCCTCCTCTCTTGCCATTCAATCCTCCTCTCTTGAGACATGCTTCTTTGTTACAAGTTACGTATTTCTCGACCTCGTCGACCGAAGGCTTCAGCCTAGTAGGGTTTATTTGAAATTTTGCCCATGACTCATGTTATGATGTCACGGTGATGCATTTCGTGACCGTCCGGGACCCGGGGAAAGCTTCCGTAGGGTCGCATTCACCCGAGTGGTTCGCATGACCCACCTACCCATGATAAACACACAAACGAAGGGGTCCTGGTCGTGAACGATTTAAAACACCTTTTCTCGGGGCGAACGAGGCAGGCCCGGGGCGGCCAACACACCCGTCATTGGCGGTGACCGGACTCCGAGAGCTTGTTAAGTAAACTTTACGATCTCCGGGGGGGGTCGCACGAGAGTCAAAGCAGAGGTCTTTACGGGACTGTACTTGAAACGACGTTCTCTCGGATCGTTTGGGTTTGTCTAGCAAGTGTTTTAAAATGTTTTGCACTTCTTGAGTAAACTTGTTGGGGGATGGTTACAAAAGTCGGGGAGCAACTGTTAGACTAGCAGCAGTGGCTGGAAGCACATCAAGGCATTGCCTTGTTCTTTTATTGCCTCACTTAAAGATTCGCAGACATGCAGCCCTATCGGGAAGGAGATCAGGATACGTTTCGAACTCTTTAGCGCCTTCCAGCCCAAGAAGTTGGAGGTGTCGAAAAGACTTGTTTTCGAGCAGGTTAGGACTTCCAGGCAATTCTATACCACCCTAGAGATATAGTAAACATACGGAGGAAAGCACCGGTGGTGAGGTAACCTGACTCCCCCTGCCCCCTCTTTACCTCGAGGCTGTCGCACGCCAACCCACAGCACCGCCTTCCTCTGCCACTCCCTGCCGCTATCCCTTCCCCTCCCCTTTCGCCCTCCCTCCCTCGCCGCTGCTCCTACATCTCTCCTGCTCCTGATCTCCCCTCTTCTGCTCCCTCTTTCTCCTTTGCTCCCTGGGCTGTATCCTACCACTTGGCGTCGACCTGCTTTCTTGTGCCGGTTGTTTCTTGGTCTGCACAGATCGCACAGCTCCTGATCTAGGACGAGCAAGGGGGCTGTTGATATCTTGAGCCTCGATGGCGCCGGACATCTCAATGAGTCATTGTGACGGGCAGCAGGAGCCATGCATGTCCACAAGGACATCGCACGAGACTTTCTATGAGGACCTGCAGACCTGTATCAGGTATCCTGAGTGCGGGTGGTCAGAGAGCGGCCGCTGCCAGGACGCGGGCACGCATCATCCCGCTGGCAGAGACAGCGCGCAGACAGCGGGCAACTCGGACGTTGCCTGTGCTCGGTCATGCTTCATTCTTGTTTTATTTCAGCTGGTTTGGAATGCTCTGCACCAAGTGGTGTGTTTGTTGATGACAGAAGACGACTGGGGGCCATGCCCCGTAGAGGAGGAGTGCAGCTCGCCCAAGTACGTGAGCGACGACTCAAGGCGGGAGGCGTCCACGTGTCGGAGCTGGCCGAGACGGCACTCTCATCCACTGCTGAAGCCGGAGTTCTGCAAGCCCTTCAAGTTCAAGCGCGTGAGCGCATGAATGGGATGGGTGTATGAGACAAGGCGGGGGAGGGGGTTGAAGTATTGGTTGTTTAACTGAATAAATTTTGAATCAGTCTTAGCAAGGTTTATAGTCGGAGAGTCACGAAGGGCTCTTGGTTGTCTCAGACGGACATTCTTCACTTTCTTTGTGTGGGAGTAGGATTCGGTCCTTCACACGTTCATGGTTACATCGCCAACAAGTTTGGATCAAGTAGCTCGATTCTGTTTGTTCGTCCCTTGGGGAGGTTGAAAGTGAGACGTGCGAGGAAGGAGAGGAAGGCAGAGCTGACGGCCGGCTATTGCTGCTAGCCTCACTAAAACCAAGTCCGGTCACTCTGAGCTGGTTACACCGGTGGTTTTGACTATTTGTTCTTTCGTTTGAAGGGGGTGGGGTATTGAAAAGGAGAACGAGGGAGGACAGGAGGCGAGGGGGGAGGACTCGGACGTGCCTTGTGAGGGAGCAGGGCAGGAGAAAGAAGAAAGAAGGTTTAAGTCGCCTTGCTTGCTGCACGACCAGACGGATAGAGGACTTAACTGTGATCTCTTCGCATGTCGGCGAGCCGAACCCTGTTGTTTACTCTCCTCGTCGCCTCTTTCGCACGCGTCTCTTGCTTCCTCCCCCTCCATCATCTGCAGGGTCTTGTACGCGGATCGAGGTGACACACGTCCTTCTCTTCCTCCGAGTGATCGCCACAGCAGGGCGACTAGATGCCGCCATCAGCTCCTGCTCCCTGCTGGCATTCCGAGGCTTTCGAGCAGGGGCCAGGAGCGGGAGTTGACAGTGACGAGCAGCGACGAGGAGGAGCAGAAGGACAAGCGGGTCCTCGTCGCTGTGCTCGGATTTGTCTCTACCCTCCTTGTGCTCAAGCTCAACCCGTCGCTGCTTGCTCTCGTACACGTGCATGGGGAGGATCGGTGGGGCACCTGGACGGTCTTGGCTGGAGCAGGTGACCCCCTTGCCGCCTTCTAGAGCTGACCATGCACAGCATGGGCTGGGATACAGCTGGAGGACACGAAGCTGGGAAAGTCACTTTCCGGAGCAGTCTGTGCCATGCTCATCACCGCGTCCATGGCGGCTGTCGGAGTGCTGCCGGAGGTCCCTTCCCCTCACGTCAGCGCACTGCAGGTAGGTCATTGCTCCACCTGCTCTTAGCTGATGTCCTCTCCTCAGAGCCTCGTCGTCAACCTGGCGACGCCGCTGCTGCTGCTGGGTGCGGACCTCAAGGTCATCTTCAGAAGAACAGGCAACCATCGTTCCTTCTTCCTCCTCCTCGGCTGACGGCTTCCCCCTCCCCATGCAGGAGTGATGCTAGTTGCCTTCGCCTTCGGCAGCCTCGGAACGCTCGTGGGAGCTACTGCCGGCTTCCTTCTGGCTCGAGGTGGCTTCTTGCGGCACATGGGCCAGAGCGGGTGGGAGGTGGCGGCGGCGCTGACGGCAAAGAACATCGGAGGAGGGCTCAACTTCATGGGGGTTGTGGACGCCCTGGGCATTGACGGGAATTTCGTTTCTGCTGCGCTGGCAGTTGACAACGTGCTGGGGCTGCTCTACTTCCCGTTTGTGATGTGGCTGGGTAGGAACCATCCCGGTGACAAGGAGGCGGCGCGAGGTGGAGAGGTGGAGAGCGAGGCAGCACCAGGCGGCTCCCAACGGGCCGAGCTGACCCTCGAGACTCTCTCAGGTGCTCTCTTCATCTCCTTCGGCATCGCCGCTGCCTCCAACGCTCTCAACGGCATGTTTCACCTCCCTGTCGCCTCCTCCGCTGCGGGCCTGGCAGTCCTCCTGGCGACGTTGTTCGCGCCCCAGCTGGGCAGGTTGGCGTACAGTGGGGACCTGGTGGGAAGGCAGCTGCTCTACTTTTTCTTCGCGTCGGTCGGCGCAGCATCAGGAGGAGCAGCAAGCTCGCTCTCGAGCGGCATGGCGTACCCGCTCGTCACCTTCGGCTTTGCCCTGTACCTCCTTCACCTAGCCATCATCCTGGGGGCTGGTCGGCTGCTGCGTATCCCTCTCCCCGATGTCCTGCTGGCGTCCAACGCCAACATCGGGAACCCGGCGACCGCCGCCGCCATGGCCAACGCCCGAGGATGGAACTCGCGCGTGCTGCCGGCTATTCTCTCCGGGACACTGGGCAACATCATCGGAACGGCTGCTGGGCTGCTGCTGGGGCAAGCAGTACTCCAGCCGCTTACTGCGATGACTCCCTGAGGAGGCTCACGGTAGAAAGGACGGAGAACAAGTCCTACGAATCTTCTATGTACAAAGATAAACCGACCGCAGCTCTGTAAGAGAGCCCAGCAAATGTACAAGGGCAGCGCGTCTAGTCCGACGGCCCGCCTCGCTGCTGCATCCCCCACTCGATGTAGTTGGGGCTCTCGCACGCGTGGTACTCCTGCACGAGACTCTGAACGATCTCCCGAGAGTCGTCAAACTCGTCCTTGAGCTCGTCCACCGACCTGCGGCCGGCCCGTCACTCGCCGCCCGCGCAACACCGGGGGATACTCACTTGAAGACTTCAGCCTGCTGGAGGTAGTTTTGCATGAAGGGAGCTTTCGCGGGGTCCCAGTTGCTGTGCGCATGCCATCATGGGGCATGCGGAGGAGGAGGGGAGCTCACCCGGCCTTCTTCTTGATGAGAAGGTCGAACTGCTTGAGAATCCTCTCGAACAAGGAGCTGATGCTCGTGTGGTTCGCCATGAGGAGGCCGCTGACTCGGGGTCCGCCGGCTGGCAGGTAGGGGGATCGACGAGACAGAGCGACCTGCATGGCTATCTTGGCGAACACAAACATGTAGAGGATGGCGAAGAAACCTGAATGCTGGCTGGACCCCAAGGGATGAAGTTTGCCAGCTTTCGTTCTCTGATCCTCTGTAGGGACTTGTGGACCTGCGTTGGATCTGCCTCGCCCTGGATGATGTTGAGGATGGAGATGTAGCAAGGGTTTCTCCCGGGCTGCTGGCTGTGCATCTTGGTAGAAACCTGAAGAACAAGTCACTTGGTTGTTGCAAGCAGTGGACTGGATGTCAGAGAGATGTCAGAGAGATCAGAGAGATGTCCGATACCATCATGTTCTTGCTCTGAAGGAGACGTCGCATCACGTCAAGCACTGTTGTTTTCCTGACGCTTCTTTCCACCAAGTCGTAGGCCATGGGCGTGTAGCTGACAGCCACATTCAACGTCTGGAGAAAGAGCGGCAAGAGAGCGATACCCGGTCATCAAGAAGTGACACCTTGGGGTTGGAATGAGCGAGGCGATGAGGCCGACAAGATCGTTGTTCATGTAGCTAGGATATCTGAGTCCTTGAGTGAGGTAGGCTCTCTCCAACTCTCATCCCAGTACCGCAGAGTTGCTGTGCTCGCAGCCATGACGGTTGAAACGAGTCCGTTGACAATCGTGAAGTCCGGCTTCGGGATCCTCAGTCGCTCAGTCGCAATCCTGAAGGAGGTATTATTGTTGGAACCCAACAAGTCCTTGCCTGCACCTATTCAGTGCGTTGTTATCAAGCACGACGACACAGTCAGCTTCTAGAGTGAGACGCTTAAGGGTCAGGATGGAGTTGTAGGGCTGAACGACCACGTCGCTGTTGCTCTCCCCGTCGTTGGGGAAGACTGAGTACGTCTGGACAAGTTTCTTCGAGTATCTGTCGTTCAGCGCTTCCAGCATGTATGATCCCATCCCTGTTCGCAACCAAGTCAGCCGCAGAATAGCGTCGCAGATGTGTCGGGACCTGATCCTGTCCCGCCGGCAATAGAGTGACACCTAACAAGTTGTCAAATCACTTCAGCTCTCGTTCCCATCTGCATGACTCACACAACAAATCCTTCAAGACTGTCGCTTCCATCCGCCTCTCTATCAATCATGTCCATGATATCCTCGATCTTGTCCTTGGCCTGCCCATAACCACTCGCCCAGTTGTTTCCAGCTCCTCCTCCCTAGCATTCTACTCAACCGAGCGCCTTGAAAGATGCAGGACACTCACCTGAGTATCAACAAGGAAGTTCTCGGGGTTGTACAACTTCCTGTACTCTCCAGTGCGGATGCCATTGATGACTCGATCCTCCAAGTCAAGCAGAATCGCTCGAGGGATGTAGTGCTCGTCGTCAGCCTGTCTCGGCAGTCACTGCCTCCCCAGCATGTCCTCTGACGCCACCTGGTAGAAGAAGACGTCCTTGCGGTCTCCAGCGTCGACTTCCATGTCGTCTCGGATAAGACCATCCTTGATACAGAGTGAGCGCAACAGCAAGGCGACAGCGCAACAGCAAGGCCACAGCACCTGGGTGATGCCATGCTCGAGGCAGAGCTGCTTCCAGAACTCATACCCAACTGCGATCATCATCAGCACAAACATGCCATAGCTCCATGACACATAGGGTGCTACTGCCGTGAGACAACATCGACTACAATGCAACTTTGTTTGTTCTCATGTGACATTCTGTTTCAGACATCTTGCCATTCATCACCGATGAAGCTGTTGTATTTTCTCAAAGTTTTCCACCTTGTGTTCAAGACATTGCCACAGATTCATGCATTTACAAACTTGTATCTATCACATGCTCTCAACACATGGTAGTGGTCTCAACCAAAGTTTGCGTTGTCGACACATGTTATTTTGTTCGAGATGGTGCTGTTCTCAACACACACACGTTCGTTCTCTCAGCGCATGTTGTGTCTTGTTGCATGTCATCGTCTCTTCTCTCGCACTCACTCTGGTTCCCGCATTGCCCAACTTGCAACGTGATGATCTCCCTCGGCATGACGGGCGAGCCGATTTCCCGCCAAATCCCCAGTCTCTGGTGAAAATATAGGATATATATAGTATATAGCGCGATGTTCTATGATAGCAACAGAAAACTACTGACGTCAAACCAGGGCTTCGAAAGTGGAACCGTTACATATCCAACGGAATCTAAATGGAGAGAAAATGAAGGACGAGAACGAGGAGAGAAAGAGAAGAAGAGTGAAGGAGAGAGGAAGAGAGGAGGAGAGAGGAAGATAGAAGAAGAGAGGAAGAGAGAAGGAGAGAGGAGAAGAGAGGAAGAGGGGAGAAGAGAGGAAGAGAGAAGGAGAGAAAAATAATGACACATAAGAAAGAGTGGAGGAGGAAGAGGAGAGACACGAGAAAAAAACTGACAGAGAGAGAGCAGGAGACAGAAGGGAGTGAACTATCAGGGAGATAAGGGGAAGGAAGAAAATGTCGGGCAATGGAAAAAAGAGAGTCAGAAGGGAGAAGTGATTGAATGATACGATATGTAAAGAACGAAGCATGAAAGATAGTGGCAAATCAGTTGGCACACTGTGTAGTAGGAACAGGTCTAGGGATCGTGGTACATAATGAAACGTGATGGTGACATCTGCTGTGCTAGAGTCGTTCTTGTGCCATGATCGCTCGTACGGCCATCACTGCAGTACTTGGCGCCTTCCTGTTGCTCTGCCTGGCCGCATTTTCCTACGTGACCCGGGTAACACAACCTCTTTCCTGCTTCTTCCACCTCCCTCCTCCTCCTTACAGCCTCCCGTCCTGCCCGCTCCTGTTCTCATCTAATCTGATCCCTCGTCTCATGTCCGTTCTCAAAGTATCAGCAGGAGCAAGCGGTTCTTCTTTCATCGCAGCCTGACACCTCCAACAAGGACAACGTGGTTCGCCATGGCCGATGCTACAGACATCTGACTTCCTTCCAGATCGCTCTAGTGCACGCGCTCGCCAGGAGGAAGCTGATGAAACACTCGTCGTCCTCGACAGAGCGAGAGAGAGAGGAAAAGAAGGAGGCCAGGTTGACTTGTGTCCTCCTCTGCAGCTAGGGGATGATTTGCATGCCGTCAGGGAGGAAGAGCTTCAGGACTGCGCTCCTTTCTGCGACCTCGGCCGATCGTGAGTGAGGAGGGAGGGGCTGCGGAGCGAACTGATGAGACTTGAGGGCTAGGATGAAGCAGAAGGGTAGGAGTGGAGGGCTGCAGGAGGTTGGAGGGGAGGACAGTTCGTGCCCGTAAGCTCCTTCCCTCATGCTGCCTGCCTCACACTCGCTCTCCTGCAGCTCCTGCGGCTCCGGAGCCTCCCAGCATGTCTCCCTCAAGCAACTCTCTGTCACTCGTCCTGCTGCCCACAAGAAGCTCACCGCTGCTGACCGAAGGTCGCCGCTGAACCTGCTCATCCATGCTGCTACTGCTCTTCCTGCTCCTCCTCCTGTCTCTGCTGCTTTTCATGTGCTTCTGTTGCTAATCCTGCGCGTGTATCTGCTTTTGACTCTGAATTCATTGCTATTTCTGTCTTGGTTGTCTTCCCTCTTACCCTCTGCTCTTTCAGGAAGATCGCGGAGGCTGCAAAGAAGATCGAATCCTCTCTCGCTGTCTCAAGCTTGCACGTCCCCAAAGACGTCAAGGTCTTTCCTGCCCTCCCCTTGTCTCATTCCTGCCCTTCTGCCCTCCTTTCCCTCCTTTTCCTTTCCTCCCTTCCTTTCTCCCTTTCTCCCCTCTCTTCCATCTTTCTTGCTCTATTTCCTTTCCTCGCTTTACTCCCCCCATGTGTTCTTCTTCACTTTGCTCTTCTTTTTGTCTTCTTCTCATTCCTCATTCTTTGCTGAATCATGTTTTTTCATCCTCTCTGTATCAGGAGGAGATGGCAAAGATTCGCTCCTCCGGCACAGGATGGAAGGCGCTGTGGGGTGAGAAAATGATGGAGGAGGAAGAGGAGGAAGGGAAGGAGGACAAGGAAGAGGAGGACGAGGACGAGGGGAAGGAGGACGAGTGTGACCTGCCACCGCAGGGATGGGAAAGCAGAAGGGGATCACACGGGACGACGCGAGGTTCGAGTATCTCGCCGGGAAGTCAGTGAGGTGAGGAGCAGGCAGGATCAGTAAGAGGCGCAGAGGCAGCGACAGGGGAAGGAGGAGAAGAGGAAGGAAGAAGGGGGAAGAAGCAGAACATGTCAACAAGGGAGAGGGAGGGAGGGAGGGAGAGGGAGAGAGGGAGGGAGAGGGAGAGAGAGAGAGAAGGGAAGGAATGCAGCAATGCAGGAGTGAAGGAGGATGGGAGAGGAGGAGGGGAGATTGATATCTGTTGCAGATCGTCGACGGTGAGAGATCCGCTGGCGGCAAGAGATCCCTTCACACAAGACTTTCACTACTAGCTCAACATGTCGAGGATGGAGAGAAGGAGGGAGAGAAGGAGGGAGAGGAGGAGGGGGAGGAGGAGGGAGAGGAGGAGGGAGAGGAGGAGGGAGAGGAGGAAGGAGAGGAGTGGGAGTGGGGGCAGAGAAGGGTTTCATGATGATAGGGTGTGAGATAGCCTCAAAGTGGAGAAAGAAAGTGACGAAGAGGAGGTAGCTATTGAGAGAAGGATTATTGAATTTCCGTATTGTAGAGTATGCTCGGACTTTTGTATTCTAGTGAATCAACAACGAAGATTGTCTGTTTGCACTCAACAACATCAACCTCCTCTCCTATCCATGGCATGTTGTATTGAGGGTGCATTACTATCATTAATGTGTCAGGGTATCATTCTGTCTAGACGTTCCTTCCATCTGCATCGTGTGAATGAAACCGGACAACTTTACAAACATCTTTAAATCGGAATAGTCTACATCATCTTACATCTCCTTATTCTCACTCTCCCTCCCTTCCTTTGCTGATCACAACGTGCTCCATCCCCTCCCCTCCTCCTCCCAACTTCGTTTCTACCACACTCCTCAGACCCGCCTCCCACCTGCTGCAAAACTCTCTCACCCGCCACAGGCGACTAACATGCTTCCTGCCCTGTCCTGCTCTCCCCTCCTCCCTCCTCATCTCACCACTCCTTCCCTCCTCCCGCTCCTCCTCTTCCTCCTGCTCCTCCTGCTCCCAGCACTTGCTCTCGCTCGCTGCCGGCACAACATCTGCTCCTCGAGCCTGCATCGTCTCGCAGCTCAGCCTCCTCAGCCTCCTCCTCCTGAGCACCAGCTGGACTGCTACATCCTCGTAGTCCCCAAGGGTCCTCGTGACCGTGAGCGAGGAGCCGGCGGCGAGGGCGAGGGAGGAGCCGAGGCGGGAGGGAATGGACTCTCCTGCTACTGTGAGGAGGGGGAGGCCCACCCAGAGCCCTTCGACGCCTGCAAGAAAAGCAAGAAGGTGAGAGCAGGAGCAGGAGCAGCAGGAGCAGCAGGAAAGAGAGAGAGGGGGGAGAAAGGAGGAGGAGGGGGAGGGGGAGGGGGAGGGGGATGTAGAGGAGGCAACGAGGGAAATATGGAGGAAGACAAGAAGGGGGAGGGAGTCTAGAGTAACTAGGTCTAGTTGAACAACAAGCAGCAACTGCTAGGGTAAGAGGAAGAGCAGGAAGAGCAGGAAGACGAGGAGGACGAGGATAAGTAGAGACAAACAAGCAGAAGAAATGAGCATGCTAGACAGCAAACCTGTTGTATGGCAGTTGAACAAGGGAGTATCAAGGAGAACGTCTGTGATGTTCATCCCTCAATCTTGTACAACTCACAACACAACAATCACCTGCTAACATCTTTGTCTGAAGCTCAACCCGCCTGTCAATTAGATCTGTGAAGTGAATCCGAGACAACACCTGACAGCTGTCAACCATTCCACCTATTACCATTGACAGCTACAACATCACTGACTGTGACAACAACATTCAAAGTTACAACATTCTCCGCGAGTCCATCTTTCATAGTTACAGCAACATCATCTTCAGCGGTTCGGTTCGATCTTCACCAACGTTCACATTTACCTTGACAATCGTTGAGTTTTCGACACGCCAGGAAGTCAACATGAGCCTGAAGGCTCGTCGCAAGGGAACCTCGCTCTCTCTGTTGTGCCGCAGCACCCACAACCTCGCGTTGGAGACTTTCTGGACGAGAGAAAGTTCACGATGAAGGTGGAGCTTGAGGAAACGAGGACAACAAGGGAAGGGAAGAGAAGAGAAGAGAGCGGAGAGAAGGGGAACGAAGAGGAGAGAGGAGAAGGGAGGGAGGAGGAAGGAGGAGGGAGGGAGGGAGGGGAAACACACTAGGAAGAGGATAAAAATTGCAAGCAGAACGGCAAACGAAACAGATGGGTTCAACAACAACAAAGAATCAATGATGTGTTCCTCTCCTTCCCTCACCAGCAAGATTTTACCCCACACGTGCAAAATTTCTCGTTCGATCTTGTAGGGCTGGCTGAACACAACAAGAAGAACGTCGTCGGACATGTCGGCCCCGAAAATCTCAGTCTTGTTGAGCGAAGTTGGAGAATGTGATGATGATGATGATGATGATGATGATGATGATGATGAAGATGAAGCATCGCCTGCAATGGATGGGAAAATATGTAAGAGAGGGCTGAGACAAGATTGTGAGAAAGAGGTAAGAAAGAGGAGCGAAGAGAGATGAAAGAAAAGGTGAAGGAAGAGGAGGGGTGGGAGAAGATCAATCAACAGTAGGAAACAAAGGCAATTGGAGAGGGAAGAGAAGATGAACAGTGGTAAAGGGAGCGAGAGAACAAAGTGAGGAAATAGAGAGAAAGGAAAAAAGGAAAGAGAACGAGAGGGAAAATGCACGGACAACGGGATGATGTAGAAGGGTTGCCTGATAGACCTTGAGCGTGAGTCAAAGGAAAGCTGTTGGCGAGGTAAGGAAAGGGGAGGAGGAGCAGAGACTCGAGGAAGAAGGATCGAAGATCGGGGGGGGAGGACGTCGCGTCTCCCGCAAAGTAGTCAACAAGCTCCCGCCCTAACGTGCCTGGGTAGCCGTGCCAGTGAACCTGAGAAAGAAGGAGTTGGGAGGGAGGGAGAGAGTGAGGAGGAGAAGAAGGAAGAGAAGGAGAAAACGAGGAGAAGGAAAACAAGAGAAGGAGAAACAAACAAGGAGGAGGACAAGGAGGAGGACAAGGAGGAGGAGGGAACAAGACGAGCAGAAGAAAACTTTAGTCAGAGAAAGCAACCTTACTCTTGGTCCTCGAAAATGTTGTCGACTTTCCCAGTTTTCCCACTCTCCCTCGTTCTGTTTCCCTCCTCTCTCCCTCTCTCTCCCTCTCTCTCTCCCTCTCTCTCTCTCTGATCTCCACTCCTCCTCCTCCTCCTCCTCCTCCTCCTCCTCCTCCTCCTCCTCCTCCTCCTCCTCCTCCTCCTCTTCCTCCTCCTCACCTCCTCCTCCTCCTCCTCCTCCTCCTCCTCCTCCTCCTCCTCCTCCTCCTCCTCCTCCTCCTCCTCTTCCTCCTCCTCCTCCTCCTTCTCCTCCTCCTTCTCCTCCTCCTCCTCCTCCTCCTCCTCCTCTACCTGTACAAAAGATGGTCGCAGTGCAAGCAGATGAAATCTCGGGCCGAGTGTCAGCCCGGTGAGGTCGACTAGCACCTGAGGGCAGAAAGCAAGTGAGAGAAATAACGCAAGAGCAAGATGAAGAATGGTAGAAGTGAGAGGTCGATGAACGAAGTATGAGATGATTGTAAGATAACAACGAGAGAAAGGTAGGGCATGCTGTTGAGATGAAGGACGGGAAATCAGAACAGGACTTTCAAAGAAGAATAGACGAGAGACAACACAACAACAGATGCAAAACGAACACAATTTGTTCTAATCATCACGCGTGCATCATCATGCCGATCACGATAGGACCAAGACACCTGAATTCTCCTTGTGTTGATGTTGTTTGCTGCTTCTACATTCTCCATCGCACTCATGTCAACAAACTCGAAGCAAGATCTGCTGATCTCCATCCTGACCTGTTCGCATTCGAGGTAAGCAGCTGCACCTTCATTTCTCAACAGAGTGAGTGATACAACCATTGAGCCGTCATCGCCAGCAAGTGCAAGACAATGAACCACAACGTGTCTGTGAACTTACTTCACTGACAAGTGGGAGATAACAATCAAAAAACCTTCTGTCATGTGATTTCAACACCCCAACAATGAAGTTGGCAGTTGTGGTGGAAGCATGAAACCCCGTCCCTGAAAGATACCCGATGCGGAGCTTGCGGGTTGACATTAAAGTGAAATCTGTGGGAGGCGAAAGTAACTAGATGAAAGATGAAGAGAACAGAAAAGAGAAAAGGAGATGAAGCGAAGCAAAGTGCGCAAAGAACGACTATCGGGGAGGAGCGGGTGCGGGAGGAAAACTGGGAAGGTAGAGTGGAGCTGGAGCAAGACCCGGAGCAAGATAAGGACCACGAGTGAGAGGAGTAGGAGCAGCAGCAGCAGCAGCAGCAGCAGCAGCAGAAGGGGGCAAACGCGTTTGAGCACGGGGGAGAGCGAGGGATTACAGGGAGGGGTAGAAGCATTCAAGATAAACATCGATCACACAACAGTTTTCATACCGAGACTGTGAAGAGCAAAACTTGAGTTGTATAGCTTGAAGAGCAACATCAGTACGCGACTCATCCCTTACATGCTCACCATTTGAACTTCTCTCAAGTGTTTCTTCGCATTCTCTTCAGCCAGAACCTTTGTCTGCCTCTTCAATCACACAAGTACATGCAAAAGATCTCCCCTTCACCTGCTCCACGGAAAGCCCAATCTCTCCAGCATGAGTAGCAGAAGTGCAGCTGAGAGGAAACATCACATGAAAGAAATTACGTACAATTCATCACCGAAGCAGCAGGTCAGGACGTTCGGCCAACAAGAGAGAAAGACGTCTGAAGTACCTGACTGACATGTCAAGATGACAACAAGTAGAACAAGTCAACCAAGAGCTCCGCACACTTGGCCGCGTCAAGTTCGAGTCAAACTCGATCAACGGAAAGTGATGGTAAACCCAGAAGGAGCTCCGCTGCCAACATGTCACATTCGTGCCGCTCGAGAGCCTCCTAGTACTTGCAAGCTCAACATCAGGTTACACAGCAGCTCTACTGCTAGGACCGGGTCCTCCCTGCTCCCCGTTGCTGTCTTGCCATCCCTTGGACTCGTCCCCTCATCCTCCTCCTCTTCCAGCTCCTCTGACCTCGCACCTCTGTGCAGCCTGAACATCCTCCCTGCCGCCATGAGCGCCTGCACGGCGAGCGCATGGGAGTTTGAACGCATCAAGATCTGTGGGCGTGCGATGAGTAGGACGAGCAGAAGAGATAGAGGAAGTGGAAGAACTGACCAAAGTACAGAAAGATGAAGAGATAAAGATAGTAACGAAGGAAGAGAAATAGGAGGGGAATCAGGAGGGGAGCAGGAGGAGAGGAGGAGCAGGAGCAGGAGGAGCAGGAGCTGGAGCAGGAGGAGGAGAAGGAGGAGTCTGACCTGGGCAAACGCCACGAGAGATCGAGGAGAAGGATAGCAGACCCTTGAAGACATCAACAGCAAGCGAGCAGAAGTACGGTAGTCTTCGATCAGATGAAAGATGTTGGCTGCTTCAAGATAAAAACGTTCTCCGCAGTCTCTCGCTTCTCCTGTCCGTGAAGCTAGCAGATAAACTAGCTCCTGCTACAGAGTAAGTATGATTGATCGATTGATTAACGGATCGATCGATCGATGGATTTCTCGATGTTGTTGTTGTTGATGATGATGATGAGGAGGAGGACGAGGAGGAGGACGAGGACGAGGACGAGGACGAGGACGAGGAGGACGAGGCAAGGACGAGGACGAGGACGAGGACGAGGACGAGGACGAGGAGGAGAGGGTAGGATCAGGAGGAGGAGGTTGTACTTTTGATTATTGTGGTGGTGGTGGTGGTGGCAATGATAGCGTTAATGGTGGGGTGGTAAGGATGAAAAGAGGGAGAAGAAAACATGTCAACAATCAACAAACGATGACAACAAAGTGATGCCAGTTGTTAGAACATTCACCTCACAGAGCTTCGCAGCTTCTTTTCTCTTCCCTCGTCTCAACATGACATTCACAAGTTTCGAATAGACATCTTCATCCCTGGGGCTCAGCCCCAGCCCCTTCCTGTAAACCCATCACGCCGTTCACTTCACTCCCTGCTCGAGCTCACCTGTACGCTCGTTCTGCCTCCACCACGTCTCCAGCTCTTCAAGGATCCAAGTCAGCAGAGGATCGGGAGGAGGTGTAGGCTGCCTGCTGCTGGCGACTCCGAGGTTGAACCACACCAGAGCTACCGTAGGGTACAGGCGAGCTGCTTTGTGGAATGCCAGGAGAGCGAGACCAAGATCCCCAGCATCGAGAGCCCTGGCCTTGCCACATGAGGACAGACTAGGAGGGAGAGAGGAGGAGCAGCAGCAGCAGCAGAAGAAGAAGAGGGTAAAGCTGGGTTTGGGGAGGGCGACTCGGGTCTATCGGGAAGGTTGGAAGGACAGGGAGGAGGTTGAGAAGGAGGAGGAGGAAGAGGAGGAGGAAAAGGGGGAGTGGGGGGAAAGGGGGGGGGGCGGGGGGAAGAACGCAACAGGAATATCGCGAAGCCGATGGTTACAAGGAAGAAGTGGAATCCTTACGAGAGGCAAACGGTGGACTGACAGGGCATTTTTGTTGGAGGAACCTGTATGATGTCTTGAATGTCAAAATGAGGCGCAAGCC